ATGAACCATAGTATTACTCAACAGAAGATAAACTTCTTATCTATTTGCTTTTTTAATTAAGATACAACAAAATGCATCGTAAGATTGATACGCTATTCAGTATTGCCTCGTGTCTTTTTGTGAAAGGAAGTATTTAAAATGAAATGAAGTTTGAAATTAAATTTAAATGTACGTTATCTGAGTGGTCCATCGTTTAAGAGTTAATTTTGCAGCGGGACGACAGGTGATGTCCATCGAACCGACGAAAATACTTCCCTTCCTATTAGTCTCTGTTCTTGGCGAACGAATTCGTTTGGGTGCAATTAAACGGCCGGCTAACTCTAATCCGACCAACCTCTGTCCTCTTTCTCTTCGTTTCTTTTTTTTTCCTATCTTTGCTGGTGTGCGGGGACGAGTAAACGAGCGATGATTCACCTGTGAGGGAATAGTCGGATTCCAGGTAAAGCCATTTCTGAAATGGATGAAAGATCGTTGTTCAGCGTCACTGGCTCTGATTATATTAAGCCATTAATGCCCAGATATATCGTATGAGCGTATGTCGAACGTTATTAGCTCTTTTCCTTCACGCTTACGTCAATTCTGTTTCGCGCACGTTGCTCGCTTGCAACGCACGCCGCTGTCTAACGCGTTATTTATACGTTCGAGCTACCAAACGGTTGGCCAACGATCGAAATTCATATCGAATCTTGAAAAAATAAACAAAAATTTCATACATCATTTTTTACACCCTCGAAAACACCGATTTTTATTAAGTTAATCTATCAATTGACGATTAATTGCTTATCGGGCGAAGGATCTACCTACAAAAAAGTGTCTAGAATTTTTACAATTTATCGCAGGCAATATTTCAAATCAAATGTTTTTGTAGAGTCTCGAGTCGATAGAGTGCAGCGTAAAGAAAGGCAAGTTCTTTCGTTCTGTTATCTCTAATGTCGGATTTATCGAGATAATCCAGACCCTACAACGTACAGCACTCCGATTTTATTGGTTCGACTGCGACCATGAAAATCTGTACTAAACTAAAAGTATGTATCATTGAAATCGGGACAGTTTCGACGAGACACTTTTAAAACAACCGGTATTGACATAATTCGATCTTCTCCTTTTTCATCGAAACGACACACGCGGTTACCTAGAGGATCATCCTCCCTATAAATAACCACGTGACTTGGTGAACCGTGGCGATTTCCGCAATGAAAATAAATCCACGCGTCGGCTCGTACGGTCCGCCTGTGGCCACGGCTGTCCATTCGCCTGAATCCGTAATAATTTTTCCGTGAGATAGCTCGTCGATGATAAAACAAACTATCCGCTCGCATTCGGGCAGAATTATAAACTCCTTTAGCGAGAAATTTTCATCCGTTAAGTGGCCATTTCGCGATGTTGCTACAAACGTCAAGCTCGTTCAGCTTATTAATCGCTATTCATCTAGCAGGAGTTTCAATTTTTTTTTTTCTTCTTTTTATCTTGCGAAGGATAGAGGGGAGAGAGAGAGAGTCGATTCAACTTGGCGATCGAATCAATGCGAACAATTTCACCGAGTATCAAATCAATTGGCCATCGGTGCCATTTGGCAACAGCATCGTTTCTCGCACACTGAAAGAAGAACGTTCGTTCGTCGCTTTCCATCGTTCGTTCATCGAGATTAGCCTTGTTATTTTTTTTCTTTAGAAAGTTCGTTCGCGCGTGACTTTTCCAGAAATTCATCGTCCGTGAGGAAGCATCGTGCATTCTGCCGTGCAGTTTCCCCATTTTCACCCGGTCGAACGAACGGGCAGCGATGTCCCGATGACTCAGACTCGGCTGCACCTGTGGCTCGAAGAGCATCGCGAGGAACGACCAGAGATCACGCTCGTTCGTGCTGGACGCACACCTGAAAATCTTCGGTGAAAGTTTTTGTGGATCAGAAACGATGAAGTTGGAAGGTTCAGAGTGGAAAGTGTCATCCTGAACGACCAACTAGAGAGGCGTCGCGCGACGCCTACGTTAACCTCGAAGAGCAGGATGAGTCCGAAAGGACCCAGCCAAGAGGAGCCAAAGATGGAGGTGAGGGTGTCGTGCGTGACGGCACCCGGTGCTGAACCTCAAGGGATCAGAGTGAAGATTCCGGAGCCGAAGAAACGACCGATGAGTCCACCTGTTCAGGAAAGCATGCGTGCCAGGTGTCCTTCGGTACCGGAGAAAGACTTTTACCGAAAAGCATCGTCGTTGGATCGAAGAGACAGATATCCAACGTTGTCCGGTGCTGAGATCAAAAGAGGATTGATTCCTGGTGGTGTCGATATTCCACGTGGCAAGAGGAACCCGATGCTCGACAGGAAAAATCGATTCCCAACGATTTCTGGAGCGGAATTGAAAAGGAGCCTCGCTATTGGGAAATGTCCTTTGGAAGACGGGCTGGACCTTAGTTTGGCACCTTGGCCAGGAATGAAGTGGGCCTGCGTCAGGGTGCTACATCTCTATTGCAAAGTCTTCGACCAGTTCGAGCTGTTCGAGCTGATCGTTAGGTAATTCATTGGATAATTGAGACGTACTCGAGGAATACCTTCGATTCTATCCTGGCTCGCGATTAATCAGTCACTCGTGACATTGTAATTGATAGATCGTTTACGAGGAAACACAATTTCTCTCTTCGACGGATGAGATCGGCATCGATTAAAATTCCGAAAGTCTCTATTAACGATCCAATTAATTAGTGTCACTGGGTAAAGAGAATTCCTGGATCCTCGTAAGTTATTATCGAAACACGTGTTTATTTGGCACGCGAGACATCGCGAAAGCCCAGAAGCAGAAATCCTGTTCGTACATTCGACACATTTCATTCGATCGATCGTAGACCCATGTAAATCAAATTACCCTCGTTTACAACCAGTCGTGCTAGTTTACGTTCGACATCCACACCCGTTGGCAATTCCAGCCTTCGCGACGATTCGAACCACTCGTTCTCTTTTTCTCTCGGTGTTGCTGTTCCTTTTTCGGACCAGCAAACGGTGAATAAAACTCGACGATGGCAGCCTCGATTTTTACATTTTTCCAGATTCCACTCGAACGGCACCGTTTACAAGCATTACGCTTGTACCACCCATCGTGGAACGTCAGGACAAATCGCTCGGTTTATATATCGTCCAGGAAATTAATTGCGCGAACCAAAGGACGCAAATAGTCGCGCGTGACACCGCTGACTCTTCATAAATTATTTTCAGGAAACTTTTATGCTAGTCTGCCCTCTTTCAACCGGATTTTTCTTCATCTTTTTCGAGACGTGTACGCGTTTGAACGATGCTCAGAGTCGTGGTTCATATTTTTTCGTTTATTGGACAATCGTAGAGATATTCTGTAGAGTTAATTTCACGAGTGTCATCTACGACATCGAGTCGTGAATTCGAATGAATTACGGTCCACGTGTGAGTATTGCGTTTCGCGGGGTTAACGAGGCGTCAACGTTAATTTGCGTCCACCCTTTGATGGCAGGACGCGTTCTCAGAGCTCGTAAAGCATCGTCAGGACGCGACGAGAGAGAAACAGGGATTCGGCGTTATCGTCGCCCTAACAAGGATACAGAAAGGTAGAAGCAAAAATTCTTGATCGTTTAAATGCTCTTTGCGAACGGCGAGTTACGGTCCGATGGCAAACAAGGTGACCGTTCCACTGACATTATGGTGATGACATTATGGAAGGCGGTTCGGTTATGCCCCGAGGGGATAATTCTTTGAAAGGTTCTCGTGAATTCGTTCCTCCTGAAAGAATCTTTCTTCCTTTGACTGACGAGAGTTCAAAGGAACGAGTTCAATCTCCAGAGATGATTGGAAATCGACGAATCATCGATCGAAATATTATTCTGCTCGATCGACCAGAGTCAGGTGTCGAATTGCAATGGTTCGCGAATATATCTCGAAAATTTTTACGTCGACCCATTAACACATCCGTTGCCACTGTTAAATTTAACGAGCTCTCATCCGCGTTGATCTAAGTTACCCCGTCCCGTTCGCTTGGTCCCCAGTAAAATCAGATTTCGTGAATTTACGATCGTATCACCGACACCCACGACTATGCTGCGACGCTTTATTTTCTTTTTTCTTTTTTTTTTTTTTCTCTTCCTGTCCTTCCCCTCGAGGAAATGCTTCTCCATTGGTCCTCGTATCTGGTACCCCTTTATCGTCCGACGGTCGGCGACGAGTGCAGAAAAGGGAAGCTCGTATTAACGACGACCTTCGATGCGACGACATCCGGAAGGGTGCGGTGGAGCAGCGATGAATGCCAACTCGGCAAATGCATCCCCTCGATTATACGATTGACGTTCGATCGAATCGTTGCCGTGTTACACGTGGGCGACGGGGATTAGAAGCGTCACTTTTGCGCAGTGAACTTTTCTTGCGGCTATTCCTGACGTTCGGAATCGTATAGCGTTGTAATCGCAGATTGCTGAAAGGAAAGTTTTCTTTTTTTCTTTTTTTATTCGCGAAAACTTGGATTATTTATGGTTAAGAGTATAACACAAACCAGTGTGTTAAGAGGTTCTTCCGTCAGATCGAACGAGGATCCAGGAAGATAAGAGACGGGAATGGGCGCGCGGTCCAAAAAAAGACGATGATATTTGCATTAATTAGAGGATAGACGGACAGGAAGCAAGCGTCCGCCTCCAAACGCAGTAAAACTCGATTAGAGGTTCTGTCAGAGACGAGGCGTATCCGGAGTTAATGAAAGACCAGGGGCAAATATTTAACGTCCGTGATATCCTACGTTTAATAGATACGTTCAACAAGCTGTTAATGTCTGTTCCACGTAGGAACACCGAAATACCTTTCCTACATCAATCTTCTTGCGAAGATAAATCTGTTAACACCTTATCGATGTACGTTCACCTAATACTGAAACGCATAAAAATGATTCTCTAATAAACAGACAAGGAAAAGTTTAAAAGTTTCTCCACTCAGCACAGTGTAACCCATTCGCTACTATCTACTTCTCTATCTCTGATGGATTGATATTTTATTTTTCAGAAAGAATTGCACGAGTTGCAAATGTCCTCGAGAAGCACACGACGTATGCCACGAAGAATGGGTGTCGGTCAGGTCTCGTTTAGGCCTGAAAGGCGAAGAATCCTCGTCCCCGTCTGTTTTCGATCCGAGAGCAAAGGGCCTCGCGTGGGCCCCACCTGGTCTCCCAGCTCACAAGGTAACCACCACCATTCGTCGGAACATCACGGCTTCCAACAGTTAATGGTTAATTTAATCGTGATAATTTCATCCGTGCCAGCCCCACCGCGTAGAATTCGTTTCCTGTTCAGTGACGCGAGGCTCGGTTTCGATTCGAAGCGCAAACATTCAATAAACATTCGGACGTATGAAATTTAACAATTGTCGGAAACGATCCGATCGAACACGTCGAGACAATACGAATCGACGTCTCTAATGAGACGTTGGCAATATCCAAGGACAGGGAAGCTTTATTTTAACCAGCGTTAAAATTTTCTGTAAAATTACGAATGCCGTAGATCCCATGAAATATACGACCGTCAAAATGTGAAGTGGTGGAATTTACGCGTATGCACGCACGTTTGGCACGCTTCCAGTTTGCAATATTTTTCAGAACCCTCGGGATGTATTAACGTGCAACGGGACTGGTCTTTATCACCGGCTTTACTCCATGATCGTTGTTCGCTCACTTTTACGATGTTGTTGTTGTCACAACGTGGCGTTAAACGTTGTTACAATGATTTACGTTGATTTTTTTTCGTCGTCGTAGGTCGACGAATACTTTTCCATGCTGCCAGAGATTTCGGTGCCCAGGCTAGGGACACCGGGTGAACGATACAGGGACCGACAATTGGCGATTCAGTTGCCTAAGCAGGACTTGGCCAGAGCCTATTGTCGCCACTTGAACCCGAAACACGCCAGCAGTGCTGACGATTTCATGGCAGCGAGAAACGAAATCGCGTTGGACATTGGAAGTGTCCAGGAAGTGCTCGAGAGAGACGTCGTGAGTGTTAAATACTTTTATTCCTTTCTAAATTAAAGAGAGTTAATCTAGACTCGAGTGAAATGCATCCCGACGTGTTCACAGGATTGCGGTGCATGCCATACGCCCATAAAATACGGCAGTCTTGCCGTATCAGCGAGCAAACTGGGCCTTCTTTATCACCCGACGTGTTTCCGGTGCTCAGAGTGCAAGGAACTCTTGGTAGACCTTGCTTACTGCGTGCACGACGACACCCTGTTTTGCGAGAGGCATTACGCTGAACAATTGAAACCTAGGTGTGCAGCTTGCGACGAAGTGAGTAAATATTAAATTCTATTCAATTTTATTTTGAGATTCCGGTCACCGCTGACACCCCTTGCACGAAACAGAAAAGTAGTATTAACCCGATAGTGGTCAGACAAGCTTACCGTCCGCTGTTAAGTAGCTATCGACCGTTGCTTCTCGTCTGCTTCGAAACATTTTTATCTACTGGAATCTTTTTTATCGACGGTAGAGTTCCTTCTGCAATATCGATACCCGAAACGCGCCTCGCTACGTCTTTTCAAATCATACCGCGGGAAACGTGAAGTATTTGATACAAAGGAAAATTAGAATTTTTTGTGTTATAATTAAAAATAAGACAAGGACATTAGAGTTTGATAGTTTAATTTTTTTTTTAAATCTCTCTCGAATTCTCGAGGTGATAAGTTGGCTTTCTCCAAATACGGTAACGCCTCGACAACGAAACATCGCGCGTTCCCTGCATCATTTCGGCATTGCTTTCGCATTAAGCAAACCTGAAATCTTGTTGGTTGACCCAAATGTACCGAGTCAGCTGTCAAGGTGCGCATAAATCGCCAAGGTTCGTGCCAAGCTCGACCATTTTACTGGTCGTAAATTTACGAGAATCGTTGTTTTCGGGCTTAAAGAACGATTCATCGGCGACGTTAACTAGCATCGGCCTGTCAATTAATTCCCCACGGACTTGAAAATACTTTTTACGCGATAAACGATCTCCAACCGGTGTTTGAATCTTCCTGTTTCCAAGAACCTTTTAAAATGTCCATTTCATTCTTTCGAAGGATTCTTCAACGCAATGTTTCATTGAGACATTGACAAACCGAGTGGCGTTAATTAGTTTGTACTGTAATGATAAATAATTTTGCTGGTTTCGCCAAAAATATTTGGAGCATAATGATATTAAGTGTCTTGGAATCGCGCAGCGTTGTCTCGCGGGAACTGGGCCGCTTTCGGCTTTATTTAGATGGACGGAAATAGGAATCGGGTAGGATAGAAGACGAACATCATACAAGCTTGTTCGTCAGCGAAGCTGCGCAACGCGAATTATGTTGTAGAAACTCGAATAAACCGACGACGATTTGGCGAAACACGCGGCCTTTTTACCTCCGTCAGTCGGCTGATTAATAAATCATTCTAACAGTTATCAATTTCTCTTCCAAACGAATGAATTAGCTAGAAATTTGTCTGTGTCTTCAGGTGTCGTTAAGAATTATTAAGGGAAGCCTTGACATACTTTGATTTCTTTCGAAATCGAATAACAAAATATCAAACATACAGCCGTTAGTTAAACGATCAGCATAGAACTAATGAAAATTTCTACGCGTTTCGAATACTCGAATTGAAACGATCCGTTGGTGTGGAACGCGGTTGCTCCGGAAGGCTGCGAAGCCTCAGCTGCCGCAGTTTGTTACCGCGTTTCACGTTCGTGTAACCCGTCTGAATTGGTTTTCTTCCAACCGGAAACCCAACGTTTAATCGTACCTGCGGCCGGTCAGTAATCTATTTTGATTTCTTGTCGAAGCTCCCACCACGAAGATCCTAGACTGTCCAGACACCAAGAACCGTTCTCGTCTTTTATTAGAGTCAGTTCAATTGGAAGCGAACGAAAGCTCGCGCAAACCGCGTGAATAATCGACAAACCGTTTTCTATCGGAAGAAATTTCCATACCGTCCATAATTTGCTTGGATATCTAGCGAGTTTCTTATCGGGATCGATACGATACCTGTCGATCTTTCACGTGTAACAGAAGGGTGGCCTCGAGTTTAGGGTAAGTTAGCCACACACGAGCCACTATACCCCGAGGACAACGACCCGACACCATCGACACCCTATTTCTCTGTTACAATAAAGTACAAAACAAACACGCATTCCTTCCTCCCACACAAATTTATACTCGTGACATATATAACCGATTTCTACGTACAGTTTGCCTTAAAAGTAAACACACAAATCAATTTACATATACAAATTATCTGATAGATATTCGTTTCTGTCAGAAACGAAATCAGCGTTTTAATTGTACGATGTCAATGAATGGTAGCCTTAGTTTTTCTCGGTTGTATCAATTTGGAAGCACCCTGTAGAATTCCTGAGGAAGACGCGTTGTCGAGATCCTGTCGATCGTTTCTGAATACGCTCTAAGCCTCGGACGAGAAACAAACGGTCTTTATTGAAAAGCATGGCGTAACAGTGACGCAATGAACCATTATAGAGTGGAAGAAGAGTCGTAAAATTTTATCTGGTTGTCTATTTCGAGCCCGGTGTTGGTTCACGTGTTTTACAAAAATCTTCGCTAGACCGATCAATTTTTCACCTAACAGTTTAACTGCAACGACGTGATTCCTCGGAGGTTGGGAAGGAGATTGTATGAAAATGAAAATGGTATTTCACAATTTCACGGTGTTTTCAGCTAACTCGAAGAGGTAGAAATAATTTATCGCGTTCTGGATTTTGCCGACAATTTATCACCGGCGTCCCGAAACAACGCAAAGGAGAATAAATATTAGCGGAGTTAACAGGAGACTTCGGCTGGCAACGTTACGCGATTCCAAGTGCCTTTTGGTTCAGTTAATTCACTGGGATTATCCTTCGTGAATTTCTCAGTGTTCGCGTATATAAAGCTTTAGTTTCTGCGATAGATTCTTATCGAACTATATCGGATAGTTGCGTTGCCACGAGACTCGTGCGGATTCGAAGAGGAGCAACCGAACGACCCGGAAGCGGTCAAGTGCAAAGACCTAGGGAGAATTCGTGGCTCGCGAACTATGCAACCCTTCGTTCACGTGACTCTCGGCTCGTGGCTGGGGGGGGTGGCGATTCATTTAAGTATTTTTGCCGGATCAACGTGTCTTGATGACCCGAATTCGCGCCATTCATCTTCTAACGTTGCGACACCGACCTTCTATTTTCGGGTTCGATCCTCGTGTACACTATCAATTCCTGTTTCTTTTACGACCACCCATCACTGATGCAGTGATAAATAGTCTGATTCTAGCGGGTAAAACAAATGGAAAATGAAATTCGACGATAGAAATTGTAGCGTAGAACACTGTTAGGGGATGAAAAGGTTTCTATGGAAATCTGATCGTCGTGCTGGTACGAAATGGAACGAAATAAAGGAAAGGTCGTCCTACGAAGTGAACGGCAGTCACGGTTGTTAAGTTTTCGAGCGATCTAATTCGGTCGACTCGCGAAGTGGCTTCGCAGAGATCCGGTGGCACGCTTTTCTCCGACCGTGGCACACACGTTCGATCATCGACCGAAATAACATTGGCATTGTTCCGTTTCCCTCCAGAGGAACCGGCTTTCGTGGCAAACAGGTCGACTAATTTCGACCCTTCATATCGGTGACCGTCGTCGCTCCTTCTACGGATCGATTCATCCATCCATTCCGCCTTTTATTCTTCTATTTTATTGTTTATCGATCGGAGTCGTTTTCTAGAAGTAACTGGTAGTACGCTTCCTAGTCGAATCACGCGACAAGGGTCAAGGTCCACCTACGATTGCTTGCCAAACGAAATGAGAAATTAATTCCATGATTCTGGATTCGTCAGTTACGAGGATGATATTCCAAAAATTTATCGTAATATAAAGGTGATGTATTTAAATTATTTGAAGAAACACTATTTGAAATTTCGCTGAAGGGATTTGAACTTGTGGATCGAAAAGAATTCTCTCCGGTTATTTTTTCTTTTCAATCTGTTTATTGTCAGAATAGGTATACATATAAATTTGTACACATGGTATTTGTACAATTGGGCGTTGTTCGAGTATTCTAGCCAGAACGAGACGAATGAAGTCGCGTTTTATTTTGGTTCCCGTCCCGATAGGTCGACGACGATACGTTTATTTCGAGCAGCAGTTGCGAACCAAGTGGTTTGCACGAGGATTACGCAGCCGTTGCGTTTTCTTCGCCATCGTACGGACCTTACGTCAGGATCTTTCATCTGACATGAAAAACGTCAACCTCCTACGTCTTTCCTGAATCATTTCATTCAGTGATAGCTTGAAGTTGTTTGTCTAAAAAATATTTCAAACAAACACCTACGAAAAATTTGCCAATTCCCTTGTCAATCGATTTTTACTCCTCGCAAAAATTGCATCCCACGAACAGCGAACACAGGTATCAATTTTCACGGGAAACGAATCGTTTCTGGGAAGAAACAATCGATCGGTACCCGTCGTTCCGACGTCGCGCAAATATAGATCATCGAGAGTTCGATAAGCTGACTCGGTATTTGGCTGTTTCGATATCTGGTTGGAAAGGGGCCAGGCTAGCGTACCGGGCGCAAAACGTGTATCGAAGATCGGCTGGACTGGTTGATTCGTAACCGATTAAGTAACCGAAATAAAATCATTCGAATGACGCCAGAAATTCGGCCACATAAACACCCAAGAATCTCCACCTCAGGCATGCTTGTTTCTCAGAGAAACAGCTGCTACCGTTCGCATTCCGAATCAGTTTCACCGATCGAATCGACGAGATGATTTTCATCCTTGAACTTTCTCCGTTTCATTGCGACGTTCAATGCATTTCGCAGAGAAAAAACAACATACACGTATACATACCTTCGTAATGTTTGGAAACACTGCAACTGACATTATGCCAACAAATGAGAAACAAACAATTCGAACATCACTTGAAAATTTGAACGCGAAATCATTATTTTCTACATAAATGATTAACGAGAGATGGTAGGCGTAGTTTGTTTAATGTCTCATCGAATATCCTTTGTACGCTACCATTTCTAGTATCCCCGACTCCTACGTTGTTTCTCATTAAATGAACCGTTGTATACCGGACAAAAGACGTTTCGAAGTTTGACCAATAGCCAAGGAACTCGACGTATCTGCCAAAGATACCATCTTCCTGGCGACGTCGAAATATTGAAACATCACACGCCCACGCAGGCGAATATTCGCAAGATTCTCGAATCGTCGTACGACGATCGGGTTCATTAGAGCGTCGTGTAGATCATCGATCGACGGTGTAAAATCGTTAGGCGAATAATTG